TGTAGGTGAAGATCCAGACAGTCTGCCAGGGACTGCAGGTACACCATGTTGCATGCTACAATTATAAATTGAAAGTGTGTATACAAATCAGTTTGAATCTCTGTTTATCAGCTTGTGACTATCATTTAGGAAGTTAAAACGTATGTGTTATCCCTTTTATCCCATTTAATATTAGTATGTACAGTGCTTTGGAGCATAGAAGTAGTTCCTGCCTGGAACACCTTGAAGTGTTTTATCTCTATAGGCCCATGTTGCCTTTGCTAAAGCTTTTTCTTTTAGATATATTGATTTGTATTGTTTATAAAGGGCAATATAGTCATCATAGTACTGGATTTACTTTGGAGAGACGATTTGGATCCATGTTGAGCTATACTGTAAAACTCATTATCTCATCTTGGTTCAGTCACGTTTTTTCCAGGTGAGTTTTACTGTTGAGAGTCACTGTTGAGAGTCACTGATTAGTCAGTCTGAGACGTTTTCCTGGGACTATTTCTAAAGCTCCTGGCTTAGCTAAGCTTTGATGCAGAAATCTATGTGAATGGGTATGTCTGTCGCTGGAAAGTCACAGATTCAGTCTTCCATTACCACTAAACAACTAGTTAAAAACGCTTAGATGAAGTACAAATTCATATTTATTAGCAGTTACTAACAGCTCCTAGTTAAAAATCATATGTTTAAATCAGTGTTTTGTCAACCTTGGCAACTTTAAGATGTGTGGACTTCAATTCCCAGAAGTCACCAGCCAGCAAGCTGGCTGGGGAATTCTGGGAATTGAAGTCCACACATCTTAAAGTTGCTAAGATGAGAAATACTGTTTCAGATCAAAACACTGGGTTTTTTTTCCTTAAGTGTAAGTGAAAAGAAGGTGCTGATTGCCACATATTGAGCTATGGAGACAGACCTCTCATATATTCTTTTCCAGAGGCAACTTCAGCAAAAAAAATTCTGTTTTCCAATGTCCCTCTCTCTTTTTTTTTTAAAGTGGAATGTTTTAAAAGCTGCTAGTCAGCAACTGAGAATAGTGAGAGACAAGGGCTTTGCAAGCAAGGCTAGTCTCCATATAACTTAATTTGGAGCTGCCTTGAGTTACATGTCCAATGACAGCTATGCAGCAACCGTAGAGTGGAAAATGTTCATTCCTGCTCTTGGAAGATGGATGAGGAGTGGCTGCCTATTTGATCTCCAGTCTCAAGCTTGGAAACTTACATTGATCAGCTAAGATCTGGAAAGGCGCCTGTCTATGACCTATTTTCCCTTAGCTGATTAAGTGTAATAAAGCTGATGAGCACTAACACTGGCTTCATTCTTCATGTTAAACTAACAGGTCCTTTTAAATCTCTAAAGACTGGCATTAGGCCATTCTATTCCCTGTCTCATCTGCTACCCAGTTAGTCCTTTAAGCTTTATTAGGAAGCTCTGTCACAGGCATTTTTGCTGGGAATATCCATGCAGATAACAGGTAGACTTCAGGGTCAGATCCTCCACACTGAATCATTGGCTTTACATCACTTTTTGGGCAAATCTAACCAAAACCAAAATCAGGCCTTTCTGCAGCGTTTGTTGATTCTCTTCAAGGGAAAATCTTTTGCACAAACTTAATGCCTCTTCAACAGACCATTATATGCTTGCCTTTATATATAACTATATAACAATACTATTTGTGTCTATGACATAACACAGCAGACATTTGTAGGAAGTGAAACCAACCTATAGGAGAATAAACCAAGAGCGTATGTTTGCCTCATTGCTATTTCATTTCTACATCAATTCTAGAGAGACAGATTTAAGTAAAATGGACCATCACTCCCAACATTAAAAACATAAATTTAAATAAAATGGACCATCACTCCCAACATTAAAAACATCGTGTTGCTATACATTTATGATGCAATTCAGAATATGAGAGAGACAGTGTGTTGTATGCTTATTGATTTACAGAAAGTGTGTGCTAAACTAAATTTTCATTTCAAAAAATGAAAATTTTATGCAAATACAGAGTTGGTGGTTGGTTGCTGAATGTGATAAGGGATTATGGAAATAAAGCATGCAGGAGTATAAATGGATTGGTTCAACATTTAGTACAAAGTAACGAGTATGTGATGTCCCTTTAATGTTGAATGTATTGATGAATAAGGAATGTTTATGATAATATTGAGAGTATGTTGGTTGGGAATGTGACCGTGCATGTATTTTTTGTATATAGAGATGCCATGTTGTTAGCTGAGAACCCAAATGAGTTGCAGTGAATTTTAAATAGATTATATAAGGCAACAAGGAGTATGGATCTGAAACTTAATGTATCAAAGACAGCATAATTTCAAGTTCTATACAAATGGTTAAAAAAAAAAACTAGGGGACATAGAAGAATTGGCATGGTTGGGAAAATGTTTAGTAAAATGGGAAAATAGACGGAAATATAGAAATGGTGGTAGAAAGGTAATTGGACTGTGAGGCATGAATGTTTATCCAAAGAGGTACAAGTGGCATGTATAAGGGCATGCGTCAGCTCTTATTCCCTTTTGTCCTGCCACTAGTGATTAAAGTTAGCCTAGAAGCTTTAAGCATTGTATGGAGGTCTGTCTCCACCTATTCTGACCGACAATATCAAATCTTAGCAACCACAGAGATTTTCTTCAGGATGATCTGTCCCCAACCCCATCCTTTAAACAGTGTAGCCATTGCCTCTATAATTCAATGCACGTACCTTGCTACTGGTCATTCTGTTCTTCTTTTCCTTCCACTTTCCCAGCATGATCAGCTTCTCAAGAGAGTTAGGTTTTCACATATGTTCCAAATATGTTAATCTGAATCTGGTCATTTGTGTCTTGAGTGAGATCCCTGATCAAGTTGTTGTATGATTCATTTGTTTATTTTCTTGGCTATCCATGGTGTTCTCAGGAGTCTTCCCCAATGCTGAAGTTCAGGAGTGTCAATAATCTTTCTGTCTTACTTCTGTAAAGTCCAGCTTTTGCTTCCATAGGCTGCACAAGGAAAACCATTGCCTAATCTTTGTAGGCATAGACATATCCTAGCATCTGAATATCTTTTCCAAGACTTTCATTGCTACTCTACCAAGTGCTAGTCTATTTCATATTTTTTGTCTGCTGGATATTGTTGATAATCAATCCTAAAAGGTAGATCTATCCACCTCTTTAAAATCTTCACTGAGCAATTTCCTATGAAGTTATTAAAAAGAATAAGACTCATCATCCAGGGAACCTTGGAGAAATCCAGAAATTTGCAATCTTCTATTTATTTGAACTCTAAGTTCAAATTTAAACTCTAATTTTAAAAATGTTATGTTACTACATTTTTATTCCTGAAAATTTTAAAGAAAGGAAGGAAGGAGGGAAGGGGAAAAGGTGATCATAATAAACATTCTGGGGTATTTGGCTAGAGTACCTTAAAAATATTATTGGTGAGTGTGAACAATTCTAATTTTATCTCCTTTTTAATTAGTAATCATTTATACAAAACACTGTGATTGTGCAGAATTTGCAATGTGCTCAATCAATTTAGTTATGGAACATATAATCCTCTTCATCATTCAGAAGATTCTAGTAAATCTTTTTAGCTGATTATCTCTGTATCCCCAAGAGGCAGCTGCTATTTAAATGTTCACAACAAGTCTTTTTGTATCTGATTTTAATCAATGATACAGTTCATATTTTAACATTACAGCAAGATTTTGCTTTATGTGAAGTCTGTTATTTCTATATAGCAACTTCAACTCACTGTATGAATGAATACATCTAATTTATATCTATTTCCAAGTGCTTTGCATATAGAATCAAATGTGCAGAGCACCTCACATAGTAATAATCATTACAACAGCCCTCTAAAGTAGCTTGCCCAATCTGGTGTCATGGGAACTCTAGGAACTTATTTCCAACACATTTGGAAAGCAGTATGCTCCCACAGGGGAAGCTTTAGTATAAATCAGCATTATTATCCCCATATTACCAATGGTGGATTGAAGTGGGTATAAACTCAGTCAGAAAGTGACTTGCCTAAGGCAATTTAATGAATGATAAGGCAGTAATAAGGTTTAAGTTGGGTACTGAATCTCATAGCCACTATCCCTCTCTATCAACCCTTAACATGCTATGAATCTATTTTGGAGGCTTAGTACGAGATCTCTACTGATAACTTGCAGAGTAAAATAAATATTCCATTGCCTCTCCATCTCTTCTCTTCTCTTCTCTTCTCTTCTCTTCTCTTCTCTTCTCTTCTCTTCTCTTCTCTTCTCTTCTCCTCTCCTCTCCTCTCCTCTCCTCTCCTCTCCCAGAGAATGCTGCATCTCAGTTCTCTGTTTTAATTTTGCCTATGTATGTCAATTGGCCAAATTACTGATCAAATGACCAAGTTATCTCTGTTAGTCTTAGTAGATTTTTTTTTAATGTAACTTGAAATATTTACAACCTACTACTATGGAACAAAAAGCAAATGTAACTACACGATTCTAACCCTTAGCCATTTGTAGCTTACACAATCAACCAACCAATCAAGCCTACTTTTTGCCTAAATGATAAACTTGCAAATTATGTTTAATAGAATAAAGTACAATTAGCTGGAGTCTCATGAACACTAACCCACAAACAGACAAACCATATATTAGACTATAAACCACAGCCTTAGTTACAGTTGGAGTAAGCCTACTGAAAGCAACACGTGTCAGGATAAGCCTGTCTCATTTAGACTTTCAATTTAAGTGCATGTTCTTTAAGCATGATTATGTTTAAATCCACCATTTAATGATGGTCCAATATTTTCTTTTAACTCTTGTCCTATGAGATTTCCAAGTACTCTATTTAAACTGGAACAAATAAACCCGTTGTTTGGAGGGCAGCCTGAATCAGCCCATTTGTGGAAGTACAGAACATATGTCTTCAGTGGTATTAGGACAGTTCAACTGGACTACCCAGAATGATCTACAGGCAAAAGGGGCTTATTTAAATGAAGAGCCCCAAAGGGGTTCTCTTGTTTCTCGCGGAAGAAGAATGAGCTCTGCAAAAGAACTCGACTATCCTCATATCCTAATTCAGTATCAGAATGGATTTCTAGTATCTAAGGTAAGGAGATCACAAATAATGCCTTAAAAAAACTAAATTATTAATGCTAGAAAGAGTTGGTAGTAGTAGTTATTTAAGAAAAAGGCACAACATTGATGACTTGATGGCACATAATCCATTTAAAAATTATATCTATGAGATCTTTTTTCTCCATGATGTAATGGCTTTAATTTTAATTGAACAATTATTGTATTGTCGAAGGCTTTCACGGCCGGCATACGATGGCTGGGTGTGGGTCTTCCGGGCTGTG